CCCCCCTTTTTTTTTTTTCCCAAGAATTCTTTTCTTAAAGGAAGCCAGAAGCTTGTCTTTGTGCAAATAGAAAGAAATCTTCATCAAAATTACTTTGTTTTATATTCGTAAAATAAGAATTAGGTCATTACTGACTGTACTTGATAGCTATATGCCAGTTTACCTTGACAGGAAGAAATATTTGCTTAGATTTATAATTTGATTTATGGGAAATATTCAAAGTAAATTATGCTGTCTGCTGTATATTTATTATAGTTTAAATTTTAAGAATGACTTAATTTGATTTAAAAATGTTAATTTTGAGTAATTACTCTAATACAAAGCAGCCAACAACATCTGTTTGCATAATCGTGGTGGAAAAAATGTACATTTGGGTTACAGGGAAGACTTTTTATTCAGTTTCTTTCTATCAGTTAAAAACCCCAAACTTTAGTGAGAAAATCTTTTTAAAAAGCCTAAGTACGTCCTATTGTGCAGGGAGAGTATTGCAAAGTAACTTGCATATGTCATCTAATAATACAGAATAAACAAACTCTGTCATTTCGTTATTATAGGGATGAAAAGAATGCCTTTGAGCTTATTTGCATAAAGCTTTGTGTAAAATTAACACTTGTCACTGTAGCCTTTTTAGCATTTTAATACCTCAAGCAGGACTGGTTCCTTTGGACATTTCAACCATCCCCAAGTGCTTGATCAGGGACACAACAGAGCTGACCTAATTGTTCTGGCATTTTCAAAGATACTGTAATTTGTACAGATATTGCAATTTAGACCAGTTCAATGAAAGGAAGGTTTTGACACAGCTATTATTAAAATAGCTTGGAAGGTTCTGTTATCACAAAGTTCAAACTGCAGATTCCAGTAATTTGTAAGTTTGGGGTTTACAATATTATACATATTTTGAATTTAATACTTAAACTAAATTGAGATTTTCACTATGATTTAGAATAAGAAGATTAACAAAGTATACTGCATAGGCTGCCTTCTTAAATTGTATTAATTTTACTACCTTTTCCCCCTTTTGTGTCTGATTTAGAATGCAGTGCGTCATAATCTTAGCCTGCACAAGTGTTTTGTTCGAGTAGAAAATGTTAAAGGAGCAGTATGGACAGTGGATGAAGTAGAGTACCAGAAGCGAAGGTCACAAAAGATAACAGGGTACGTTGGTGGTTGGTTTTGTTCAACTGAGTTGTTCTGTAATTCTGTAACCTGAGTGAGTCCTCTGTGTACTACAACCTGACAGACAAAGCGAGCACTTATGTGGAGAATACGTAGCAAGCTAATAGCTATGCTGGTTCATTCTCTTCAGTGAGCTAACATTTATTTCATTTTTGTGGTAAATGCTATTTTCTGTACATTCCTTGCCTGCCTGCCTTTCCCGTATAGTTTGCTGCAGAGGAAAGCGATAATGGTTTTGTTTTCTCAGTGTATTTCACCATATGTTTGTCATTTTAATTCCATCTACCATAAGTTCTTCTACTATATATTAAAAATAGCCCTGTGTACATATGTTGCCCATGTGTTAGAGTTTCACATGCGCTTGTTTTTACTGTAAACCTTTGACAGAAGTAGGGAGTCGTTCAAGGTCATTTTGGAATATAGGTATCATACACTACAGTACTGACCTCAAAAATATCTTCTTGATGAGGGTAGTATTCATGAGAAGCCTTCACAGGAGGACCTTTGGCATGCTTACTGCCCTACTTTCAAATTAATCCCATGTCAGTATGACTGGTTCTGTGGATGCTTTTTATTCCTTTAGAGTATATAATTAGTTTTGATAAAACCATTCAGAATACCAAAGGTGCAGAGAGGAAAGCTGGAGGTTTTTCTTTACAGGAAGGTGTGCTATTTCTGTAATGGATCTGTTTGTAAACAGCCACCCAGCTGACCTCTGAAGTCATCCTAGGCACTAATTTGAGTGAAAATATAATTCCATGGTGATCTAGCATATAGTATTTCTAGCCTGATTTAAATCTGGTATCTTTGATTTGCTGGAAGCTAATTGATCCGCTGTTTTGTTCATTTACGGTTATTTATACATTGTTGTACCCTCACAGTGTCTTGGAAGGGAAAAGTAAGACCCTTTTATTCAGCACCTTAGCATACTTGTATGTAATGTATTCAAATGTGTACCAGTGTTACTTCAGAAAACCAAAAACAAATGACACAGCAAGCGTAGCTGAGGCAGGTGTTGAACAAAGTTTAAAGCTATGTCTGTCAGATTCTTTCAGTGAAATCGGAACTTTTATGAGTCACTATGGCCCTGCTCTCAGAGCAAATTTCCACGTGGGCCTAATTACAACAAGACTTTGCCTTTCTGATGCGAGTAAATCACTGTGTTCTAACGGGTTGAGCCCCTTCACCTCCAACTTCATTTCATTTTTCCTTTTAAAACTCTGGTCTTCTGAGCTGAAAAACCAATCCATTAACCCAATGAGCCAGCCAGGATGTCTGCCTGTTTTTTAAACTTTGAAAAATCGTTTATTTTCAGAAGCCCAACGTTAGTGAAAAACATACCCACCAGCTTAGGCTATGGAGCAGCTCTTAATGCAAGCTTGCAGGTAAAAAATGCTACATTATTCTTTCTTTGCACACTAATTATGTTCTTAAGTGTGACACATTCAATTTCCTGTTTATTTTCGTATAGAGTTACCTGTATTTATGTTTATGTGGACTTGATGGTTGTTCTGAATAGTTGGGTTTATCATCCAAGTAAGTTGTGTTACCTAGCACTGCAAGTACTAGTTCTTATTCATGCTACTTTTGATGTGAAGAAGCAAGAAGGACACCCTGTGGCAAAATATGGAACACTCAGTTTCGCTGCAAATGTTAGATTGATAGAAGCTTTTGCAAATGCATGTGGATATGCATTAATATTTATCCAAGCTGTCATAAATGATTTCACATCATAGTGTTGGGGAACATGGTGCTCATGGCAAAAACTTTAAAGTTTAATTATAATATATAATTTTTATGCATAAGAGGCAAATGTCAAGACTTTTTTATTTTGAGTTAAGTTCTGGTCATTTTTTAAAGTATAGCAGCTGCCTGCATTATAAAGGAGCCATACATTGTGTGGAAGGGCATAGGGTTAAGTGTAATTCAAAGTCAAAAAAATGATGTAAAACTAGAAAGTGCTGCGAATATCAGAACATAGTTAATAATGGAAAATAATGAAACCTATGTAAGAGAAATAGTAAACCAGAAATAGAGATGCTGGTATATTCAGAATTTGAAAATGACTGGAAAATGCACAAAATCCTTCTGACAACCTCTACAACTACCCAAATGAGCTGCTTTGTGTGTGTATATTCATACATGTATGAATATTTACAAGAGATTTGTGTATGTATGGACTAGTAATTTCATTTTTACTCTTCATTTTGCTAGGCTGCACTGGCAGAGAGTAGTTTACCATTGCTTAGTAACCCAGGATTGATAAATAACGCATCCAGTGGCTTACTGCAGGCAGTCCATGAAGATCTCAATGGTTCGCTGGATCACATTGACAGTAATGGAAATAGCAGTCCGGGCTGCTCTCCTCAGCCTCACATGTAAGTGCCGTTAGAATCCTTTCAGGAAAAAATGCCTTAGTCTAAGACACAATATTACTCGAAAGTGCTTTGAAACATGGTAAGTGAAACATCTGGAACTGTATGTTTGAAACTAAACATTTATATTAAAACATTTAAATAGATGAGTCTCCATGTACTTTGTAGTAAAATTGGTGTAAAATATTTTTTTTTGCTTTTTTTTTTTTTGCTTTTTTTTAAAACTTCTTCAACTTGCAAGCATTGAATGTAACATGAAACTGATCTCTGTGGTCATTTTCACAGCCTGGTTTGTAATGTATAGTCAGACATGTTCATGTTGGAATTAGTTGTAATTTTAACTATGAGTCTCTAAACCATTTATGAACTGTAGTGGAGATATTGCCCATTTATATAAACCGTAAAATGCAAAGTTTAACTGTTGCCCACAGTTTACATAGAAGCCAGTAAAGTGTAACTTTTTGCCTGTCGTATAAATCAGTGTAATTACATATTCAAGTTTAATTACTGGTGCGTCTGTATTGGCAAGGTTTATATGTTATATTTTATGCAAGACTACGATTCCTATTAATATTTAGCAGCTAACTATATCATTAATTACTCTAAAATCTTTCCCCTACCATCTTTTTAATGGAGCTGAGAGAGTGGAAGTATTAAAAATTGATGTATTGTGGATTTCAGAAATGTGTCTGAAGCTTTAGAAATGCCTGGCCTTAATCAGTGGTGTCAAACGTGGCAGTTTCTTGTTTACTAAATAGTAAAACATGTATCTTGGAGGTATTGTTTCCCAGGTTATTTATATAATAATTAGCAGAGTGATATCCAAGTAGACTTAGATTTAAGTTTACTGTAGGATGAGTTTTAATGTGTATGTACAATTATGATCTCTCTTTTTCTCTGTTTAAAATAGCTGATCTGATTTGCCTTTTTTCATTCCATTTTCTCTTTCACATTTTTAATGTTCATTTTAATTTCTAGAGTGGGACATTTAGCAGTAACAGTAATTGAGACCAAACTCCCTTTTTACTTATGCTCTGGTGTGTGAAGAATCCATTTTGATCTGACCTTTTTTGGGGGAAATATTTTGCCGAGTTTTTCTTCTTTTGTTCTTTAATATATCTATGATCACATAGAAATGTTTATTGTCACGCATTTAATTGTTTTATTGCACATTATTCTACTTGCCTTTGAAAATAATACACTGTGAACATTCATGTATTTTATCAGGTTCCAAACCATTACTTTTTCAAAATGGATAAATTTGTCTTTTGGAAGTGTCTTTAGATGTATTAAATAATACAAAAGAAGTAATAAAACTTGAAGTAGAAAGAACATGAATATATGCTCTTGAGAGTAACACTACTCTAAAACAAGTAAAGTGAGCAATCAGACAAAAGTTTTTATATCCCATGCTTTATGCTATCAACCATGCAGTGGGTAGCTTGAGGCCTTTTACTTTTAGCAGTTCTCCTGAGTATGCTAATGCTCTCTTCCTGTATAAAATGCCAAGACAATAAAACTTTAAAGAGCAAACAAGAGTTAGATCATGTGTGTTAAAAACAGCTACTTTACAGAAAAGAATGACACTTGCTATTAAAGTTGTTTTGTAAGTGTTTGGCAGATCTGTTTACATATCCTATGTACTGTCTGCCACTCCGCTGGATAAACTGAGATATCTGTGCATATGATTATGTAGATATGGCTACATTTATAGCTGTGCTTATAGCTGAAATACAGCATATTGTAGCAATTCTTGCCTATAAAAAAGCCAAATAACATGAGTTAAACCCTAACTCGAGCTCCAGCCATCCTCTCTCATTTCTATGATATGTCATTTGTCAAAACTGGCGTTTTCAAGACTTGCCTTGGTGTATCTTTTGAAACTTAGGGCTACGTGTTGCTCAGTTCTTCACAGATTGAAGCAGCTGAATGTAAATGCAGTGAGATACCACTGGAGTAAGAGGTTATGCTTGTTCACCAAATTTAGTGCAAGATAATTACTGGCATTCAGTGAGACTAAAAGATTCAGGCTATGGCTAGATAACCTGCTCACTTGAAAGATTTTTGCCTTTCCCATGTCAAGGGAGCAAGAATATGAAAAAGGGAATGAATGAAAGCTGCAAGGAGAAGACAAGGAAGGGGGAGGCTTGTGCAGGAGGCAGGGGACCAAGGAAGAAGAGAGGCCCCTTCCTTGCCTCCATGAACACATCCAACAGGGCCCTTCCTTTTTGTTGAAGAGCATTACTTAAGAAAATGAGAAAAAAAAGTAAGGAATATGGCAAACAATTAAGATAAATTCAAAATTTTACATTATCTACACAGATTACATAATCCCAAAGTTTTTAAAATGGAAAATGGTTAATATACTAGAAAAAATATATTTTACTGCCACAAGCATCTGCTTAGTTGTAGTTTCTTCCGGAGAAAGGTCCCCTTGGAAGTCTGAGTGTTTCTCCCCTAGAGAGGCGTACTTGGTGGGTTCATAATTACTACACTCACCTATAAAGTAGGTGGCTCCATTAGACTTTGAGTAGATTTAACCTCTATCTGCTGATTCCCAGGAGAGTGTACGAGCCATGACGCCAAAAATACTGAGCGATTATGCTTTTTTTTTTACTCCATCTTGGACTTGGCACGCAGCCAGGAGCAATGGAGCATGGTATTAGGGCAAGGGGCAAGAGGTTGCATGTAATTTAGAGATCATGCATTTGGTTGGGAAGGGGCAGAGTTTGGATTCTAGAAAAGCTTCGAGGGAGAGACATTTGTTTGGTGTTGCAGCATTAGCAGGAAATGCAAAAGGAGTCCCAGTGACAGTGTCAAAGCCAAGGATATCAATTAGGCATTTGGTTGTTAGAAATGTACTGAATATAATTTTATCAGATAAATATATGGTAGTGGAACTTTCTTATTTTGGAATGTTCATATTATTTTTTAGCATAAATGTATCTTTTTAGAAACATGATTAAAATTCTGTGCGCGTATGTGTACAATAGTCAGTATTTCTGTGCTTTGAGCATGAAAACATTATCAGAGAAATTGATTTCTGTTACTATAATACCTTAGCTACTTAGTATCAGAAGGTGGGAAAATTATTGCAGTCTTTGAATTTGAACATTGCACTTCACATCTGATTTTCAAAACAGAGTAGTAAGAGCAGTTAGAGTCATCAACTTATCCAGCTGTGGACAGGGATCTAGCATAGGTGGGTGAATCAGCTTAGTTGGAAAATAGTCTCTGTTCATAGACTAGAGAAAGGTGGTAGATATATAACTTCAAGTAAATGTATAGCATTTAAATGCTTGTTAAGTGCAGTGAGTTCCAACTGGTGTATTTAGGGCAGTGGCACTTTAAAAGCTTTACAGTTTTTGCCTTGGGTAATGATATATAATCTGCTCCATTTCTTACACTTCTTAAACAGTTAAAAATACTCCAGTAAGTTTTAGGTGATTAGTATAACCATGACCTGGTAGTTGGGATATCTCCCATATTAATAATTACATAAAGCATCTGAACTTTTATGCTGCATGCCTCGCACTTTCTATTCTCAGTCTGATGAAAGATGGTAATTCCATGATCCGATATGGAGTATATCATAGTGGGATCTCAAATCCTAGGTCTTTGATTGGTCTTCAAATCCAATTCCTAGTATGTTGACATGGCCACTAAGTGCTCTGTTGACATAAATCTTCACTGAGAAAACATGTTACTTATTGTGGGTATATATGTTCTGTTCGAATTTCCATTTTTCTCTCTCAGTTGTCCATAATTAATGTCAGACAAATATCTTTACATTTAAATCAATCCTGAAGACTCTGTTTCTTCCATCATTTTTTGAACGTGGATACTGTGGGTTTTAGCTGATAAGCAACTGGTTTCAAAGTGTCAAGCACTACAGAAGGTATTTTATAAACAAAAATTCATTATTTATGTAGAACTAGATGCTGCTAGTCTTGCGTAACAATTGTACATGAATTTAGTTAGAAGCTTCACAGTACACATGTTTGGGGTATAAATGCAGACTTCTGAAGTAAAAAAAGAAGCCACAAATATCTGAACAAATGCAATTGAAGCTGCATGTTTGTGGGAAACTGGAAAAACTCTTATTGTCCCTGAAGAAACAACAACATTGGACAAGACATGGAATGATACTTTGGGACCATAATGACAGTTCATGCATTAGAGATAACACAATTTCTTTTTAACCTGCATGTAATAGCCAGTATGCTGCTAAAGTGTTTTGGAGGGATCAAAATCCTGAAAATACAACAGAGACAGGAAAAATAATGGCACAAACTAGATTTCATTATGATCTTGATGTTCATTTAAAAATCTAAATTTATTGGCTCTGAAGGAACTGAATGGCAGATCTCTCTCTCAGGGCTGGAAAACAAGTTTAATTCTGGTGTTTGTATGTGCATTTGAACTAGATTGATCACACTTAAGTGATTATTGCGACTGGCACAGACCAGGGTGTTTTATCACCAGCACTCTTAGTGCATCTCTTGCCCATGTGTTTATATTTTGGCAAATGCATCATGCAAAATGCCATTTTACTTCATTGTACAAAGGTGGGGGGGAAAGGTAAAATTTTAATCTGCAAGGCTGCTCATAGCAGTTGAGGAAACAAAAAGAAATTGGTCATCAGAAAAGTCGGAAAATTGTGAGAAAATGTCTTACAATAGGAAACAATAGGGTGGTTATGTCATTCTGTTAAAACTCATTGCATCTCATTAAATAAGGAGTGCGAGGAGTTAGCAAAGGAGATAGGGAAAGCAAATACCCCACTTATGAGGTTTTGTGGAAGGAGGCTATTGTCATGCTTTTCTCCCTGTTTATGCTACATGAGAGTGTAGACTGAGGAAAATGCAACTAACCTCTCGTGTTCTCAATTGATTTATGAAATAATCTAGTTCCTATCAGCAAATCCAGAATCCTGGAGATAATAGATGTCTTACTAGTTTATAGAATTTTAATTGTTGATTGCTTTTTAAAAGTACAGTGAA